GTGCATCCAAGGACTGCGAGCGGCGGCTGCCCTGCCCGGGGCCGCTCTTGGGGTGTCTCTGCCCTCAGGGCAAGCGCAGGCCCAGAACCGGCGTCGCTGCCATTGAGCCGAGCTCCCCGCTGCTGCAGGTGCTTAGCAAACCCATGCGAGATTTATTTAACATCTGCTTCTGAAAATTAAAATAGTAAATTAACCATGGGAGAGAATTACCCAGAGATAGAGTGGGTTTGTCTTTACTTGCCACCTTTAAATCAATATTAGCTGTCTTGCTAGAATACGCTTTACTCGAACAGAAATTAGAGGTTCGCTGTAGAAATTGGTGAAGATATGTGGCCCATGCTGGGGAGAAATGTCAGACTGACCATCTCTTTTGACTTTAAAAATCTGTGAAGAAAGTCAGTGGAATATTTTTAAATAGTGGGATTTGATTGCTTTTTTTTCTGTTCTTTCTATAGCAAGAGCTTCTACAAGAGCTTTTATCTATTGCATATATATAAAAAAAGGTTCTCCTCTCCAAATAACACAGTTTTAGAGGTCTTAAAGGGAAGAGTTTCAAGAATTTTCCAACAAGGGCAAAAATATGTATTTTCTTTTAATGTGGCTAAGTTGAGTTGTGGCTGCTTGACTGTTCCCAAACCTTTCTTTGTCACTCTCCAAATGAAAATAGAATTATATTTTTGCATCAGCTTGGTACAGAAAGTGCCCATTTGAATTGCTGGCGTTTGTCACAACTTAGAGAAAATAGAAAGCAGCTTTTCCCAGTGAGACGGTTGGTGCCAGCTGCGGCGAGGTGACCTTGATGCCGTGTGAGGACAGTCGGTGCTGACTGTCCGGCTCGAGACGGGGAGTCCTGGCTCAGGAGCGGAGCCTGCAGCTCCTCCGTGTCCGTGGGGAGGCCGGGAGCAGCTGTGCAGCTCCGGCTGGGGCAAATTAGGGGAAACCTGGGAATTTGGGCTGGGCACAGGGAAGGGCACAAGTGGCAAAAGGAAGGCAGGACCTCAGCTCCGGCTGCTCTGCTCCCTGCCCGCGTGTCCCGACTCACTGGGGCCTGCGCGAGGCACCCGAGGGTCTGGCTACTCGTTTTGCTGAAAAAGTCAGGAAATGAACAGTTACGTGGGGGTAACGGCTTCTCTGAAAGATCCTGAGCCAAATATGTCGCGGTGATATAGAGAGCTAAATAACAGTTAGAAATTCATGCTTTAACATTGAAAATGAAGAGAGAAAGATCTGCGTGGATGCCCAAGGATCCAAAAGCTTTTAGCGCAGAGAGAAAATGTTACTGTGTCATTTCTGCAGCTCCTGCGACGCGATCGCGGCCGCTGCACTGGGG